CTGGCCTCCGAGGTGTCCCTTGGGCCACTGCTCCGGCCCCAGCGCCCCACTGCGGAACATACCCGGCTCCAGCCACACCTGGCCGTTCGCCGCTCCCGGCGCACAGGGGCCCTCCCGCCAGGCCTCTGCACAAGTCGCACCACCCGCGGGAGACCTGTTTCTGGCCTGCCGCCGTCTGCGTTTTGCAGGGATGAGCCCTCGCCCTTCCAGGGCCCGAGTCCCGCCGCTTCCTAACACACCTCGTTGTGTTCCCTGCTGGGGAACCCTCGCTCTGCCTCGCCCTCCCCTTTGTGCCCTTCGCAGCCTACCCAGGTGTCCAGGTTTCACCCCCTGTCCCAGCAGCCCCGTGGCCACAGAGGCCTGTAGAGGAGCCTCCTTCGTCCTGAGAGCCTGGTAGGGCTCCCTTGCAGTGGGTGGGTGTGCAGGGGGTGGGTGTGCACCCAGCTAGCCCAGGGGTGAGGCATAATTACAAGGCATATGTGCAGTCGTGAAGGGCTGGGTCATGGCCCTGCCTGGGGCCCTGGGCTTCTCCTCTCTGGTGGGCTGGTCTGAGCTCGGAGGCAGGGAGGATCAGTCAGCTCAATGGCTAGTTTACGGTTGGGGAAACTGAGGCCCAGAGAGGCGCAACTGGCCCAGAGTCACATAGTCCATGGTGACGAAGAACTCAGGTTTGGGGCATTTCCTTGCTACTCTGACTCCCCCTCTCGTTTTTTTGGCTTTCTTCTCGCTTCCTGGAGTGTTAGCTGTTTTCAGGCCAACACTCACCACCTTCCCTCCTTTGTGTCCACACACACACAGGCCAAGAGGCCCAGGTGGGGCAGGGATGCAGGGGCTGTGGCATGGTGGTAGCAGCACCAGATCTTTCCACGTGGGGGCGCCCAGAGCCTGTGTTTTTATTTTTTGACAGAATGTCAGTTTTCATTGTTACAGAACATAACACAGAGTGATGTCTTCAGTTTCACCACGGAGGCAGCTCATGTCATATGTTTTTGACAGCTCGACCACGTTTCTGACAGTTGCATTTTTTTCCCCTTCTGGGCTTTTGGGATGTTTTGGGGCATTGGTGGGAAAAGCACATGCCACCAGTGCCGTCACCCCTCAAGATCATGCCGATGTCTCGATTATCTCCTCTCCTGCCTGTCCAGACTCGGCTTGTACGTGCCCAGGGAGGGAGGACTCGCTGCCTTCTGGGAGTTCTGAGTAGAAGGGCTTCTTAATACTGAGCTTTCTCCAAGGTTTTGAAACTGACAGTAACTTTAAGATCCACAGTCTCAGGCCTACCTAGGCCCAGAGACCCCCACTCCCAGCCCTCACAAATGGAGGAGGCTCTGAGAGACAGAGGAGAGGATTCTTCTTCCTCTACTAGGGAGGGTGGGAGCTACAGCAGAGAAGGCCAATAAGACCTTGTGACATCTTTGTCTCCCATAATTAATGGGGAACATTCCTGTCCCAACATGCCCTCATCAGACACTCCCACCCCTGCAGTAGTGGTCTTTATGTTGGAGGAATCATCTGACTGTGGGGGGCGGGGTAAGGAGGAAAGAGGATTGTCATTGGCCAGTGAGCCCCAGCAAAATTATCACTGAAGAAACCAGCCAGTGCCATCACCGGGACCTTGAAACCGCGGTTCCCAGCCAGGATCTCCCCCAACACCCAGATGCCTCCTGCTTCAGACACGTCAGAACTCCAGACTTAGAATCTTAGAGCTCTGACTCAGAAGCCTCTGGAAGAGACGGCATCTCCCCCTGGTCAGAAAGGAGGGATAGGACGCAAACATAGAGAGGCCGGTGGAGGGGAACAGCCAAGATGAGCAAGTGCCTGGCAAAAGCCCTCCTGAGTGACTGCCATACCTCAGCCCGGCCTCACAGCCAGGTAGTGACAGCCAGACTGTCTCCCTCATTATGGGCTCCCAGAGGGAAGACTGAGTCGAAGTCCCCTCCCCGTCCCTTTCAGAGCCTGGCTCCAGGCCTGGCACACAGTAGGTGCCCATCGACTCAGAATGAGTAAGGCCTGGCCATGCTCCCCACTGGCCCAGGCCCTGATGGCCTGCTCTCTGGGAAGGAGATAATCCTGTGTTTGAAGCTCAGCGATGTGGAACTTTCCCAGTGACCACTTCCATCTGTCCCTGCCGAGGCTGCTGGGAATGTCTTCTCTGCCCTGTGACATTTGTGCTCAAATCTGAGACTTCAGCAACAGTCGTCCTTCACACCTCAGGAATCTGTCTCCCTCCCCCCCACGACGCTGCCAGTGCCCTGGCTCAGGTCACCATCATTTCTGGAAACAACCCCCTCCCTGGTCCCCCTGCTCTTGCTCAGAGATCTGTAGGCTTGTGGGATGGATGAGCAGATGTCAGGTGTGGTAAACAGCTCATGGACTTTGCTATCCAGACCTGAATTTGAATCTTGGCTTCATCCCTCAGGCTTGGGCACTTTTCCTCCCTTGTCTGAGCCTCAGTTTCCTCACAACAAAATGGGTATGATCATGGCTACTCATGAGGTGGCTGTGAGGATGGGAGGAGATGGTGTCTCCAGCGTCTGGCCATTTCTCGTGTCCTAATTGTGATGCTTTCCTCTCCACCCACCAAGCCTGCAGAGGACTGCCCCTGCCCCAGAGGGGGCTGATGCTCTGAGGCCACCTGACCGTGCTTGGCAGGTGCTGGGGCTCCAACCCTGGACTCACAGGTGGCACAGCCGGCCTCATCTGCTCCACCCTCGCAGTCCTTCTCCCCGTCACAGCGCCACGAGGCAGGCACACACTTGTGGCTGGCGGGTCCACAGCTCAGCTTCTCTGCGGGACACACCTGTGTGGCTGTGGAGACAGACATCCGTGCGTGGCTGAGCCAAGGGGACACGGGGTATGGTGCCCATCAGTCCTACCACCCAGTTCCAGCCACCTGGCCCCAGGCCCTGGGAGTCCACCAGGACCCGCCTGCTGTGTCTCAGTTCCTTCATTTGCAGGGAAGCCCTATCTGCCCCTGGGGCTTTCCAAATCCTCCATCTGACCCCACCGCTGCCCTGTGTAACACCCTTTCATGGTCCCCAGCACTCAAGTCCCTCCTTGATCCCCTGACCCCTGCCGGCCTCACCTGGCCATGCATCCCACCCCCCAGACCTCCTCTCCAAGCTCCGGCAATGTGGGACAACCACGCGCTGTGCGCTGCTCAGCCGTTTCCCAGCTGTGTGCCTTCGGATGAGACGTGCCCCCCCGGGCCTGTTTGCCTTCCACACCAGCACCTCCGTGATCTGAACCTGCACATTTGGAGGGCTCACTAGGGCCCTGACAGCCCCACACCACCCCCTCTGTGTCCCTGTCCTCAGTGACGGTGCTGAGCCCGCTGCTGGGAGCAGCCGCCTCGCGTCAGGGCCCAGCGGGACTGCACAGCTCTAATTACTGCAGCTGCAATCGGAGGCTGACTCAATCAGGGGCCTGAAGCCCCAGGGTTGATTCTCAATTTGGAAGAAAGAATGAGGACCCATTCGGGGCTGGGGACAGTGCTTATCCTCTGCCCCTCCTAGGCCCGCATGGCAGGCTCAGCCGAGGCAGATGCTTCTCAGACCTCCACGGCTGGCTCCCCACTGCCTTCCAGGGCGTGCAGGAGCCCGATCTCAGTGGTCTCAGGAGGTGCCAGGCATGGTGCTAGACACTTCCATTTCATTTTCACGATAACCCAGCAGGGTGAGAGGATTATGTCCTGGCCTCCAGAGTGGAGGCTGAGGACATAGACAGACTCTGGAGCCTGGCTGCCTGGGTTCAAATCCTAGCTCAATCACTCACTCTGTGACCTTGGCCAACAAGCCTATCTCTGCATCTATACAGTGAGGATAATACTGTTACCTGTCTCATAGGACTGTTATGACGACTGAGTTAATGTCTGGAAAGCCCTTAGAAGACACCTAGCCCAGTGCCCATTAAACGTTACCTATTATTATTCTTCACACAAAACAGATGACTCTGAGTCTTGCTTGTTCATTCATTGCCTTATACTCCTGAAGTGTATTCCTAGGGATAACTTTAGTGCCCATAGTGGGGGGAGGGGACCGAGGGCACTCTTCTTCTATGGCAGTAATATTGTCTGGGGACCCTGACTCAGACACCTCCCTTCCTCCCCAACTGCCTTCCAGGGCGTGCAGGAACCCCGTCTCAGTGGTCTCAGGAGGTGCCAGGCATGGTGCCGCCGGGTACCAAACAGGGCGGCAAGCACTGAGTTCTAGTCACACAGCTTGTCAAGAACGATGGAAGGATTCAAAGTCAGCTGTGTCTGATGCCAGGGACTGGGCACAGTCCCTTTCACCCTGGAGGCCGTAGGCTACTCCCGCCTCACCCTCCGTCTTGCTTCCCAACTCAGACCAGGTTCCCCGCTTCTGACTTCTATGGCTGGGATGAGAGACCACAGGGGATGAAGAAAAGGGCACAAGAAGTTGGGGAGGGAGGGAGGTGTCTGAGTCAGGGTCCCCGGGCAATAGTACTACCAGAGAAGAAGAGTACGCTCGGTCCCCTCCCCCCACTATGGGCACCAGAGTTACCCTAGGAAGGCACTTCCTGAGTATAAGGCGATCCCTTGGGAATACAGGGTTCATTTTTCAGAAACTTCCCTTTACAGACAACTGGAAAGCACTGACACTCGAAGGCCATTTATAAAGGCCACCTTGGGGCTGTCGTCAGGGTGAGGGAAGGGGACTAGGAGTTGGGAGATGGGGTCCATCCAAAGCACATCAATCACCAGTGAGACCATAGATAAGTGCTTCCCCACTGGGCCCCATTAGAACAAGGGAGCTGAAGCTGCAGGCATTTCCCAGCCGGTCCTCTGTCGAAGGGTATTGCTATGAGTGCAGGTCCAGGGTCCCAGTTCTACTGACCAAATACAGGCTTTGAGGGTTGAGCCTAGGAATCTGCATTTTAGCAACTCCCCATCCAAACCCAGGATTTCCATGTGCCTCTGTGTGAGAACCCCTGGGATAACATTCTGCAAGTATAAAAGGCCCAGGACATCCCACTTCTTTTAAATTCACGACTATGAAAGCGATACAGCTGTTCCATATGTTTGCAAACCCCTGGGAGCAATGGGATGGAAGGTCAAGGTGAACATGGATCCCTAAGCTAGGCCTCAGGAAACAGAATCTCACCAAGGAGTTGGAGGGAGCCCGTTTGCTGAGCACCTGAGGTGCCAGCAGGCTGCTCCATGCTGAATTCTCTGTATTTTCCCATTTCATCCTGCCATGGTCTGAGTGTTGGTGACCCCCCCCAAAAAAAATCATGTTGGAACTCAATCCCAGTGTGATAGTATTAGGGGGTGGGGCCCTCAGGTGGTGATTAAGTCATGAAGACCCTCACAAATGTGATTAGCACCCTCATAAAAGAGGCCAGAGGGAGGCTTCTTGCCCCTTCTGCCAAAGGAGGACAAAGCAAGGGAGCGCCATCTGAGAGGAACAGGCTCTCACAGACTGAATTTGCCATTCAGAGCAATACATTTCTATTGTTTATAAATTGCCCAGTCTAAGGCATTTTGTCATAGCAGAATGGACTAAGATACACCCTCATCCCAACAGGTGAGCAGCCCCGCAGACTTGAGTGCAAATTCCAGGGGAGCCATTTCCAGAGATCATCAAGTCAGTGACACAGCTGGAGTGGGGAAAGGCAGCAGTTTTGCAGGTAAGCACTCCATTTTACAGATGAGGAAACTGAGACTCGGAGAGACCAAGTAACTGGCCCCAAGATGCATAGCAGGTGACAGGCAGCCTGGGCTCCTGTGACTGGAGCCTTCCGAATCAACCAGCCCAACTCTCCACCCCAAAGCCCAGGTGACAGAAATGGCCCTGGGCATATGCATCACCTCCAGGGGCCCGGTTCTGCAGACCCCAGGGCAGCAGGCAGCTGCTTGAACTTTTAATGAATATTTATACAGTTAATTGCATAACCTTTCAGCAAGGACAATGATTAAACAATCTGTCTGCTTCCTTTCTTTATAATTAATAAGACATTTGCTGTGTCCCTAAATAGACAGCTCTAATTACAGGCTCTCGAGGATTCAGTAGGGCCTGATAACAGCCCCTCCCCATCCCCAAAGAGCCAAGGCTCTTGGAATGCCAGGACGCGAGAGACCTCAGAGGTCATGTTGATGGAGAGGTGGAGAGGCAGCAGACCGAGGCCCAGAGATCAGAAGGTACCCACCTGGGGTCACGTGGCTACTGGAAGCTGGGTGTTCCAGCTTCTCTCTCTCCCAGGACCTCACTGTCTCTCTTTCCCAGAGCTGGTACTTGAACCTGCCTCTCAGGGCTCCCGGGACGTAGGAGAAAGAGCATGGGTCTCAGACAGAACTGCGTCCACATTTCATTGACTAACACTAAGGTCCTTAGGCGTGTCACCTGACCTCTCTGCATCCTGGCTTCCTCATCTGAAGAAGGATTTGAATCATCTCCCAGGGTTGGTGGGCGGTTTAAATGAGAAAACATGGAAATCCCTACACACTCAGAGCCTAGACCACGTTTCATTTCATGAGATGCAAATGCAAATGGCTGGTGAAGGGTCTGGTCTCACGACTGGCAGTGCACATTGGGAGTTCACATGGCCCGCCTTGATGTAGCCCCCATCCCAGGACAGCCTCTCTCTCCGTGACACCCACCCCCGAAGGATGCCTTTGTCCTGCCGCCCAGGTATACACGTTCTGACCGGCAGGAATGAAGTGCTCCACTGTCTCTAACAGGAACCCCCGGAAGCCAGCAGGGGGGCTTGAAACTCCATCCTGGAGTGGCTGGAGGCGCTCACAAACTCCCAGAGAATCCTGCCCCAGAAATCCAAATCCACTGGTACTTTCTCGATTCATAAGTTCACACATTAACAAAAAGGGAAATGTCTGTTGAATGAAAGAATGAAAGTACTTGGCGGCTGCTCATTGATTGAGCACATCCACCGTGTCAGCTCATGTGAGTTTAGTGGTACACAACCTCCAAATGGGAGCTGCAAGGGACCAGAGACTCCGGTGATGGGAACTCCAGTGTCACTCGGCCCAATTCTTGCCCCCCCACCCCAAGCACATCAGGGGCCCACCCGCTGTGCAGAAGGGGGCAGTTACACCAGCTCCTTCAGTCAGGGCCAGGCTTCTAGCTGGGTCTGTCCCTGTTTTACTGGGTGATCTCAGAAGATCTCTGGGCCTCCAATTTCTGATCTATAACAGGAAGATGAGCCTGGTTAATCAGAGAGGCCCTCCTTCCAGATGGAAAGGTTCTAAGGCATGCAAAAAATGTCCATATTCCAATAAGTAGCACCCAGATCTACAACTCACCTTGAAGGTCCTCCCCTGCCCAGCTCTCACCCCTCCCCTCCCAACAGGCGCCTAAGGTGGGTCAGAAGGTGGCCCCCAGTCAAGTGAGCTATAATTAGAATCAGAATGCTACTTTCACTAAGCAAATGTTCTGGGCTTTTCGGTTGTGACTCCAGGCTATATTTGATAGGCACGGAACCCAGAACCCAGAAGGAAACAGAGCTGGGAGGAACCCTGGCCAGCCAGGGACAGACAACATGGGGGGCGGGGGGACCACAGGAACTGGGGCCTGCTCCCACGTCCCTTCCCCTTTCAGTGCAACCCCCTCACTCACACCATTTGAATGCTATGATATTTGAATATCTGAATATTCTACTAAACGGCTAGCTCGGGGAAGAGGGCTTGGAATCAAAATATGACAACACCAAGAGCACAGCCATCTACTCCAGCACCAACACACGCAGCTTCTCATTTGACTCTCACAACCCCTGTGAGACAGGGACCACACCACATTCCACAGAGGAGTAAACTGAGGCTCGGGGAAGGCTGGGCAACTTGCTGAGGTCTCACAGGTTAAAGGACCTAAACCCAACGATATCAGATAATAAACTCACTACGCTTCACGGCCTGTAATCTTTCTTTCAGGGGTGAGGAGTGGGGCTCCATCCTGGGAGCTGGCACGGACCCAGGAACATGGTAGACTATGGGGTTGCTATGGCAACACCAATTAAATGGACAGCAGGTTGGCTGCTGGGTTCTCATTCAGTAAGGAAGCAGTGAGCAAGACCGGCCATGGGGTCCTGCTGCCCTAAATTCTGCCTGACCCTGGGGTCCCACTCTGGTCAACCTCCTCCAGGCACCCCTTCCTCCTTGCCCGCTTCTGCCCAGTGTCAACTGCACAGGAAATGGGGCTCCTGGCCCTGCACCCCAAGCTGGGCATAGGCGAGGGAGAAAGAGAGTCTCAGAATACTAAGAGTTCCAGGCCCAGAGAAGGGCGGGAAGGGACGCGGGGCTTCCCAGGGAACAACTGGGATCGCCCACAGCAAAGCTGGGCCTCTTGACTTCTAGGGTGATCCTTGGCCGCTGCTCCCACGGGCGCCTTGCCAAACCTCGGAGAGCTCAGGAGCCTGTCTTTTGCCACAGAAGGGAGACCTGCCACCAACAAGCCGCGTGGCTCTGAAGCAAGTCTGTCCATTTCCCCGGGGCCTCCAGTGCCTCAACTGTCAGAAGTGGGCTTAGGAGGCAGGAAGTGAGGCAGGGAGGCCCCCGCACAGCCCAGAGGGTAGGAAGCAGAACCTGTGGGGCGGGGGTGGGGGGGGCAGGAGGGAGAAAGGCAGAGGGAAACATGGGGCTGTGCAGCAGGGAGAGGTAGCGGGAGGGACAGCGAAGAGAGGGGTGAATGGGGAGGGAAGAGGCCCACAACAGCCAGGGCAGTTTCTTCACCAGCCAGGGGATGGGAGATAAAGAGCCAGAGATGTGGGGAGAAAAGGGGGCTAGCCCTCAGGCAGCAAGACAGCCCCCACCGGGGACCATGATGAGGCTGCCCCCTTCCTGTCCCCAGTGTCTGGGGTACGGATAGCGGAGCTGGCTGGCTGCCCTGGAGGAGAAGCCCCCCGAGGCCACAGCCCTCTCCCCAAACACCCAGGCTGCGCAGGGCTCTGCCTCTTGGTAGCTGCGCAGCCTTGGGCAAATAGCTGAACCCATTCCAGCCTCAGTTTCTTTCTCTCTACTCGGGAATCCACCTCCCTCCTAAGGTTGCTGAGGAGGATGAAAGTCACGAGTGGGCGTGGCAGGGCTTTGTTCCTCCCAAGCCTCAGGACAAAGCATGGGGCTTCCCTCTGGCCCTGGCGCCTCCAGTGGGTACAGAAGGATGGGCGGGGAGGGCAGGGGCAGCTGCTGGAGGAAGTGAGGGGCCCTGGCTCAGGCGGGGTCGCTCTTGCTCTGCCTCTCTCTCTCCCTTTCTCTCTCTCACACGGAGCCTGGTAGCTCCGTTGCTAGGAGACAAGGAAACCCAGTTATCACCAGCCGCAGTGCTAGATGGGACTCCGGTCTCCATTGTCCCAACCTCTGCCTCGGGGCGACTGTTACCCCCAAAGAGGGGGCTCCTGGGTCCCCGCCAACCCCCCCATCCTCCACGTGCTTCCCCCAAGCCTTTTGTCTCAGGCTCGCGCTGCTGAGGCTCATCTCTCTCGGACCAGTGGGTCCTTCCCCCCCTTCTCGTCTCCTTTTTAATTTAACAAATGTCACAGAATGACCTGGCGGGTGTAAGTTTGCTTTGAGGATTAGGGTCTGGAAAATAAATCATGGAGAGACAAAGCCTGAGTGTGGGAGGCAGGCCTGGGGCCGGGCTCCGACTCTCCACGTCACTCCACCCAGAGGGCCATGGAGGCCCGGACTCCCGGGCTCAGCCCACCCAGGGCAGAGGAAAGGGCTGGGGGCTCAAAGTCTTGGCTAGGTGGCCTCGGGCAAGTCACTCAACCTCTCTGAGCTTCCGTGTCCTCCTTTACAAAATCCAGAAAGTGTGGTACCTGCCCCAGGAGGCTGCAGGGGGGGATAAAAGGCATTCCCGCACACAAAGATCTTAGCACACAGTAAGTGCTTAATAAATGCCAGCTGCCATTGGTACCACTGGAATTAAAATCAGCGTTCTCAAGAGGATAGGTGGGGAGGAGGAGCTATGGCTGCTTCTGGGCCAAAGGGTCTAAGGAGCCTGTTTCTAGCACCTGGGGCAACAGGAACAGGGGCCAACCTGTCAGAGGGCTGCCAAGAAAGCCTGGAAATGGAGCTAGAAGCCAGCAACTTAACACACCTGACTGTTGACCAGGAAGCCCCCGAGGCATGGCACAAGGTGTTCTACCGATCACCTCGTGTGAGTCTGCAACCTCCCCACAAGGAAGACCCGTTGAGGTCACTGAGGCCCATAGCGAGGCCCACCCTCTCACGACCCAAGGGGCAGGACTCACTGCAGGTGGCCTCAGACTCATCGGAGCCGTCGGGACACTCCTCCTCGCCATCACACTTCCACCTCTCGGGGATGCAGTGGCCATTGTCGCAGGTGAAGTCGCTGTCCGCACAGGTCTTCTTGGCTGCGGAGCAAGGGGAAGAACATGGTGAGCCTTTTCCAGGACACACAGTGACCATGGGGTGACAAGAAGGTGCCTGTGCCTGGTCTGAAGCCTGGACCACATGACCTCCCACGGCCCCACCAGGCCATGGAATGCCTCACCAACCAAGGGCAGGGGGGCAGGAGAGAAACATGTATTTATTCCACAGGCACTACTGAACACCACGTGAAGACGGGGGACAGTCTGGCCCTGTCCTCCAAGTCCAAGACCTCACATCCAGCAAGATGACAGGATTCACACCCCTCTCGTCCCTCGAGGTTCAGGTCCCCTGTCACTGCCTCCAGGAATCCTTCCCTGATCCCCATGGCAGCTGCTTTAGCTCCTTTCACCAGTTCTCAGTCCCTTTGCCTGCCTGTCCCACCTCCCCCAGCAGACCACAGGCCGAGGTCCCTTCTGCAGGCTCCAGGGAGCGTGTGATCATGAATCCTGAACATAGATGCTTCCTTTGGGGCAAGATTAACGAGGTGTTTTGTGTTCAGGGTGGTAGGAAGAGGATCTACTGGGCAGGACACTCTGAACTGCAGGGGCGACCTCCACACTGCACTGAGTTGAATCCCAGTTCTTCCTCCCTCCATCGGTGTGACCTTGAGGAAGTCAGTAAGCCTGCATCTCCTTATCTGTATAATGGGGAGAAAGCAAAAGGCCATGAGGAGTAAGAAGTTGTTAGAATGTATGAAGAACATGCCATCAATTCTGGCATGCAGCAGATGCTTGGGAAGTAGCCGCTGTGGCTGTTTTCATGGCTTGAGTCTTAATTAGAAAGAGACAAATGGAGGGTTCTGCACCCGTGCAGAGGCGGGAGCAGGCTGGCGCCTCACAGCTGGTAGCAGAGTTGGGACAAGGACGTGAGCAGCAGCCCAGCCCAAGACTCTTGTGGCCGTGTGCCTCATCCTGAGAGGGACTAGGGTTTCAGGGTCAAGGAAGGGCAAGAGCGGGCTGACCGTGTCCTAAGGTGCCCCACTACTATGCTCTGTGCTGCCTAGGGCCCCAGCTCCTTCCTGAACACGGACATGGCTGCATCTGGCAGGCCAGGCTGGGGGTGAGGGCCTTCGCCTGAAAGGTCTGCAGTGGGTGAACTGGGACTGCTGGCTACCCCCTGCAGGTGGCAGTGGGTGGGGGGTGTTGGAGACCCGGAAGGGGCACCCCAGCCTTGACTCCCTGCATCTTCCACAGCAGCCCTGGGCCTCCGAACTGTTGGGGCTCATCTGTCCCATTCAGTTTACACTTGCCCTGCCCTTGCTTGGGCTGAGGGTCCAGAACCTGCTACAGCGCAGCGAGGTGAGAAAGAGCACTGGGCAGGGAGTCAGGAAGCCTGGGGTTGAGTCTGCCGTGCTGTGTCCCCCCAAGCAAATCCCTGTCCTCTTCTGGGCCTCTGTTTCTTCAGCAGGAAAGGACAGATGTGGTGGGCCTAGAACAGGAGGCCCAGAAATACCGCGGGAGGTCTCTTCAGCCCGAAGGGGAGTAGCTCAGCCCAGCAGTGACACCCAGGCCTTGGGGGCCCCAACCTCCAAAACCCTTCCCTTGAATGACCTTGGGGATGAGTGTCAGCTCAGGGGCCACTAGGATGCAGCCTCTCCCCAGGGGCTGAGAGGTCCCTTGGCCCCAGCCTGTCCTGCTCCCTCATTTTCCTCCCCACACTTCCCAGTCTGGACCCACCTCAATGGCTGGTGGGTCCCTGCACACCCCATGTTATTGATACCATCATGCCTTGTTCAAGCAGTCCTTTCTCCCAACTCCACCTTCTTTCCTTTACACACTGGGCTTAAATATCACCTCCTCCAAGAAGCCATCCCTGATCGCCTCCAGTCTTGGTGGGAGGCCTCCTCTGAGCTCCCAATCCCCTGGATGTCCTGTTAAAGCAGAGGTTAGTAAACTTTCTCTGGAAAGGGCCAGATAGTAGATAGTTTAGGCTTTGGGGCCATATAGTCTTTGTCACACTACTCAACTCTGCCACTATGGGGCAGTAGCAGTCACAGACGACTGGTAAATGAATATGGCTGTGTTTCAATAAAACTTTATTTACAAAAGCAGGTGACAGGCTGGATTTGGCTCATGGCCTATAGTTGGATGGCCTCTGTTCTAGATCATCACTGATCCCCACGGTCCAACATGGTTTGTTTTCTTCCCTGTCCCTCCAACACAGGGACTATGTCAGATTTGGCGAAGACCCAACTCAGGGTAGATCTCAGCGAGGGGCAACAAATCCCATGGGAGCACAGATTCCAGCCTCTGCTCCCATGTCTTCAGGACTGGGGCTTACGTGGCCCTGGGCAGCTGCTTCCCATGGGCCAGCTTTATGTACATCTGCCTACGGGCCCTCAGGCTGCTTCTGGGGCCACATGCCTGCTCCCCCTGCCCTGGGAAGCCTGCCAGGGATTTGAGGAGACAGACTGGATCCCCTGAATCTGTCTCATTTCTCTCTTTCTTTTCAGTGGAATCTCTGCAGCACATCTGTGTGTTGCAAGATGTCTTTTCTTCACACTTTCCTCAGAGGAATGCCTCTGTGTATGCAGGGCTAGAGGAAACCCGAGAAATCAGAGTCTATTTATAGATAGGGAGTGAGGCCCAGAGACAGAAAGGGGCTGGCCCAGGGAAACACAGCAGGGCAAGGACAAGAACAGCTCTCCTGCCTCTCAGCCCCGGCCCTGAGTGCCTGCCCTGTGCCCTGTGCCCTATGCTGAGAGGTTGTTGACAGTGATAGATACCAGAACCACCTACTGGTAAATCAGAGTCTATGATCATCTTACAGTAAGAACCATTGTGAACCACAGCACCTGGGGAATTTCCTAATGCGAACACCAAAAGAAGCCCAACATCCAAAAAAAGAAACATACATTCTAGTGTTTTCTTTCTTCTCTTCTGACATTCAGTCCCTGTGGTAGTGTTTTACCCAGGGAACTCTGTGCCATACATACCCCTCTGACCTATGAGGACATCCAGGCCCAGAGATGTGCAGTTACATGTCCAAGGTCACATCTGGGTGGGGGGAGCAGGGCCGCAAAGTGAGCCCACAGCCAGACGCCTGTGGCCCCCAGCACGGCTCCCCAAGTGCTCAGTGGTGTCAAATGCAGAAGAAAAGCCCCTGAGGTAGGTGGGAAAGTGCTCTGGAAGTTTCAGTTCAGCATTCGAGGACCCATGTGTATGTTCCAGCCTCTGTACTGAGAGCACAGAAGAGAACCAGCCCAGCCCGGTCTCTGGGGGTGCACAGCAAGCTGGTAGGTGGGCAAGGATGTACAACCAGGCCGTGTCTGGACAGCAAGGCAGCCTTGAAGAAGACGGTGAGGAAGGGGCCTGCCACCAGGCCCAGGACAGCAAGATGCCCTCTGAGAACCTTCCCGACCTGACACTCACAGAGCCTGGAGTCAGCCTGGCCCCCCTCTGCGTGTCAAGCCCTGGCAGGCACTGGAGACCAGAGCAGCCAACAGCACTACCACAGTCCGGAAGGGCAGCTTCAAGGCCAGGCAGGCTCAGGAACTGCGGATGCAGGGATGGGGGTTTTGGCGTACAGATCTGTCCACCGACCAGACCAGTTTGGACTGCTCTGGCCTGGCAGTGACTCCTCACAGCTGTCCTGGTAGCCACTGTTAATCCCACTTTACAGAATGGGAAATTGTGGCTCAGAGGTGAGGGTGGCAGAAGTGGAACTTCAGCTCTATGTGGCAGCTGCCAAAGCTTGGGCTCTTCGCACTAAGACCCTCGGTCACCTCAGTGTCACCAGAAAGAATGTGTCACCCTAGAGAGGCAAAGTTACCAAGACACACCTTAGGTCTCCTGGAATGTGTCCGGGTATGCTCTGCTAATGGATTGCACTTTCAGGTTGGGGGCTAGATTCAACCACCCACGAGGGCCCCGTCAGCAGTGTCACCACAAGAAAGGGCTTGGAGTCAGAGCTGAGACTCCTGGCACAGCCACCGCCTCATGGGGTGAGCCTGAGCAGTTATTTCCCGCACAGCACTGCTACTGGACGAAAGGCAGAAACACTCTCCTGGGGGATCCCGGTGTCAGGCCATTTGGTGCAACGAGCCTGAGTCCCTCAAGAAGAGGCCACATCGGCCCGGCCAAGAGATGAGGCCGGGCCAACGTTCTGTGGCCATCAAAGCAAGCCACGGCAGACCCCTGCTCTCTGGCCTTGGCTCCAGTTCCCAGGGCGATCCCTGGCTGGGCTCAAGGCCATGGCTCCCTGTTTCCAGGGATTTATGTCCTTCCATGCCAGTCTGCCCCTTGGACAATGCCCACTTCTATGAGTCCCTGTACTCCCCAGCCCAGGAGTGATACACAGTCATCCAGGGGCTGCAACATCATAATCTGGTGCCATGGCAACAGAGGGGCTGTCACAAAGGACTGGGGATTCTGGAGGGAGTGAGGAGGGGCCGACCTCAGGGAAGGGTGGGGAGACAGGGAAGCCCAGGACAAAGTAAGTGGGAGCTGCTATTTCTAGCAGGGACACAGGCTGAGGAAAGCAGCAGGCAGCCCGTGGTCTGTTGAACTCTGCTATGCTCTTGGCAGCTGTGTGAGCTTATGCAAGTTGCACGACTTCTCTGAGCCTCATTTTTTTCATCTGCATTCAAGGGTACTACCCCTGCCTCATGAAGCACATAGGGTGGTTGTGAGGAGCAAATGGGCTAAGCGTGGCGCCAGGACTTTATGAACTGAAAAGCACAAGGTCTGAGTTTTCAGTGTGTGAATCACAGCCCTGCCCCAGCTGCTGTGTGTGTGACACTAGGTCCCTCTGCCAACCCGGCAGGGCCTGCTTCCCCATCAGGAAGTGAGGTGTGGCGCTAAGTCTCAAGGCCCCTTCAGCACCCAGAGTCCATGATCTTGTGACATCATGATGTCCACTCAGCATCTCCCACTTCCCCACAGAGACATCCTTCACCCCCGCTCCTCCTGCAGCCCCAGCGCAGAGGAGAGGCTTCGAAATAAAGACCAGCAGGACTGCCAGCAGAGCTGCTCGCTGTGGC